CATGTCTTGGCGAATGGATGTGAATATGTAATGAGTGGTAATCTATCGCTAAATGTATGGATAATTGCCATGAATTGTGTGCTTCAAACACAACAGCCTTCAGAGATAGACATCGAGAGAGTATTTAGTGTCACAAAAAAACCCAAAAGCTTTCAAATTGTGATTTATTTGGTCTTAAGATTAGCGAAACAATTATTTAATCCATTGCATCATTGAATCCATTATTTGTGACATCAATTGATCCTATGGTGTGGTAACTGGACTTTCCTCCTCTGGACTATGGTTTTTGATTGGCTTAAGTGGTAAACATCCGGACCATTGAATCAACACTTTAACCAAACAATCGGTTTTGTTGTTTCAAAACTGATTTCGATGTGAATTTGAGGGAAAATGAGTTGCGATTAGATTTGTGCTCAAAACCAGAAATGTGTTGTATTTGTATAGTGTATTGTATACCAGAGTGTTATAGTGCTATAGTGTGTGTGTTGTCTGCTATAGTGTACTAATGAATGAGTAAATTATACTTATTTTAAGCGTTGATTGAGTTGTGATATAACGACGAGTCGATCATATGATGTGCTAAAAGCCATTGCATTCAACGCACGACAACAACTGTAATACTCTGTGCATTGAGAGAGTGATGCAAACACACTGAGGGAGTGTATGAGAGAGGGAGTGAGAGAGAGAGTGAGAGAGAGAGTGAGAGAGTGTGAGAGAGCGTGTGGGGGAAGGGTATGGTTAGGGAGCGAATGAATGTGTGATTCTGTTGGACACACACACTGTGTGTCTGTTGTGCACATGTATTGCCGAGTTCTGCACAGGCATTGCGTTTGCCATACAGTCTCCCATAGAGTAGTGCACAGACTGTACGGTATATAAGAGGCATGTATTGAGTGTTGTCTGTGAAGTAGTGCTCGCGTTTGCATTGCCTGTAGTCTCGCATCTCATATGTTTGGTTTGGTTTTGTCTAACACTTTAACATTCATTTGGCATTAAAACAAAAATCACACTTCAATTGTATACTTGTGTGCCATTGAGTGTACGGTTTCGCCACATCATTGTCTCCATACGACTCAAGTGTTGTCCTTACGATTTGAGGGATCCGTTGAAGTGATGCAAAGCGAGCAAAACGGCGCCAATGGATGCCATCTGAACGGCAACTCCAACGGCATTCACGCCAAGAATCACAGCAAAGCGTGTGTAGTATTGGGCGCCCAATGGGGTGATGAGGGGAAGGGCAAAGTGGTTGACCTCCTGGCCATCGATTCCCATATTGTCTGCAGATGTCAGGTATGATTACAAAAAATATGTTACTTTCCATCGATTGGTATATATTCTTACGATTCTTGAAATTCTGTTGCCTTTATGTATGCATTGATGGCATTACTATTGGCCATACATTGCATACATTGTCTGCATATTAATTGCTAATTAAATAAAATACTTTTTCTATAAAAATATACACAATTTTGTAGTTATATTGAAATGATTGAATTGTTTGGACACATATAGGGAGGCAATAACGCGGGTCACACAGTGGTGGTCGGGAACACGGAGTTTGACTTTCATTTGTTGCCGAGCGGTATAATCAACAACAACTGTACGGCAGTGGTTGGCAATGGAGTTGTCATCCATTTGTCGCAATTCTTTGACGAGATCCGCAAGAATGAGGGCAAAGGTCTGTCAAATTGGAAGAAACGGCTCCTCGTCTCAGACAGGGCTCACTTAGGTATGCGGTGTCTCTCCCACTGTCTCTCTG